CGGTTTCCCCTCCATCACTGATGGACCCTTCCCTGCTGTTCCCGTTTCCCAAGACACAGATGTCTTGGGTCACTTTGTTTTGTCCCCACAGATGTCGAGCTGTATCTCTTCAACAACCCCAGTAACATCCAGAGTGGCCTCACCTCCTCTGACCCTCAGGACCCTCCTCCACGGAGGTGATACACACCAGGAGACCGTGGGTGTTACGTATCCAGTGGTGTGCTGGGACTTACCGAGGCACACAGTAGGCCTTCAGCTGCCGGTTATGCGCAGTAGTCTGTGTGGGTGGCAGGTCAGTGGGTCAACCTGTGCGGATCACATTCAGAGGCACATCCACCCTCTGCTGTTTGGGTTTTGTGGGTGATGGGTGGAGATTCTGCTTCTGCAGTTGTTTTCCTTGATTGTAACAAAATGCCTGAGGATGCAACTTGCTAAAAGAGGTTGACTTTGGCTCCTTTCAGAGTTTTCAGTCCTGGTCACTTGACTTTGGGGCCATGTATAGCATGGTGTCCCAGCAGAAAGCATGTAGAAGGGTGAAGTAGCTTGCTTCAAGCAGACAGTAGGCAGAGGGTACTGGAGGACCTGGTACAACCTTCAAAGCCACAGGTCCCACAATCTGCTTCCTAGAGCCCCTTCCAAGTTTCCATTGCCTCCAAACAGCACCACTGTGGGGGTTTGAAAGAAAATGGCCCCCAAAGGGAGTGGCACTTTTGGGAGGTGTGGCCTTGTTTGAGTAGGTGTGGTCTTGTTGGAAAAAGTGTGTCACTGGGGAGACATGTGTTGGGAGTCTTATATGTGCTCAAGATACTGCCTAGTGTCTCAGACCGCTTCCTGTTGTCTGTGCACCAGGATATAAGAACTCTCAGCTCCTTCTCCAGCACCATGTCTGCCTGCATGCTGTCTCGCTTCCCACCATGATGATAACGGACTAAAAACTGCTGTACTGTAAGCCAACCCCCATTAAATGTTTTCCTTTGTAAGAGTTGCCGTGGTCATGGTGTCTCTTCACAGCAAGGTAGTCAAGGCCCATGTGATCCAGTCACCTTCCGGAAGCTCCAGCACAGCCCTCGGGGGACACCTCCAATCCAAATTCTGACAGCCTCTGAGCCAGGCACCCCGAGGTTTGAATCTCACCTCCCCACAGGCTTGCTGTGTGTCTGTCACAGGACGGACGGGCGTCAGCGCCCCTCTGTGTCACAGGACGGGCGTCAGCGCCCCTCTGTGCTGCAGCTTCGATACCAACCATGAAAGCCAAGCCCGGTGATGCCCTCCAAGGGTTGAGAAAGACGGCAGCGACCGTGGTGATGGCAAAGGGGACACTGGCACAGTGAGTGTCACGAGACAGCCTTGGTTAGTACGGCGGCCATGATGTCGATCATGACGGGCGTGGAGACCCTTCCCCCAGAAAGGACGGTCACCATGGTAACAGCAGTACCGGACAAGGGCACTTTGGACTCTGTCTCGAGCTCAGGACACTCTTTGCTGTGTGCCCCAGCAGTGACCACACCCTATACTAGCCGTCACCTGTGCCTTGCCAGGGCCCTCAGCAGCAAACACTGTCTTCCTCAGCAGGAAGCAGCTGACAGAACTCAGTCTCCATGGTCAGGGGTGATAAAGTTCACACCTGGCCTCAGGTTCATGGGGGGTGGGGGGAGACACGACCCAGAACAGTTCCAAAGACTACCACATCCTTCTGGCCTTCTGGGGGCTAAGCCTCGGTTCCCCCACCCCCCTGCGAAGCTCCTCCCTGCCCCTCCCCCAGGCCCCTTCCTTTTCTTGAGAAAAAGTCTCCATTAAAGCCTTTCCCATAGCCTCATTTTTTTCTGCGTGTTTTTCTTCCCACTCTTCCTGGAGCAGAAGTTCCCCACACCTTGTATCGGTGAGTCGCACCTCTTGCGTTGTTGACGTAGGTGTTAATTTGGACAACATAAATATTTACATTATATCCAAGCATTCAGGACCCTGTCTTGGCAGTTCTTCTTTTTGCAGTTTCCTGAGAGCCATGAAGTGAGAAAGACGCCTAGGTTTCTCTCAGTTCTGTGGGACTGGAGTCAGTGGGAAACAGGCATGCACTTGCTCATGAGGAGGCCTTGTGTGTGTGTGTGTGTGTGTGTGTGTGTGTGTGTGTGTGTGTGTGTGTGTGTGCGTGTGCGTGCGTGCACGCTTTAGAGGAGGCCACCGCAGTTCATAGTGGGAACCAGGTCACCGTGGGGTCGGGGAAAGAGTTCCTTATATCACCCAAAGCCTCTGTGAGCATGGCCCACGTGCCTGGTCACTGCTGTCCAGATCACCAAGTTCACACCCTGGCAATCAACTTTGGAGGTCCCCTCTCCTCCCCAGCCTTCCTGGAACAAAGCAGGAAGAACTGTGATGGAGGTCTGCTTGGACCCTGGCCAGGCTGTATGCTCTGGGAATCCTACAGACCCTCCTTGCAGAACAGTCTCAACACAGGGCAACGGCTTCCCAGCAGATCAGCAGGCCAGGAAACACCAGATACAGCCAGGAGAGACAGTCACAGAATGAGTCAGGTCTCTGCAGGAGACAGGAGCAGAATCTCTGTGTGATCACAGCAGCCATCATTCGCCATGAGACAAGGCAGAGCAGTGTGCCTGGCGATTTACCTGCACAACCTCAGCTGTCTCCCCACAAACCAGGAGGTCACTTGTCCAAGGCACCTGCAACAAAGGGCAGGCCCGGGAATTAAACTAGGACCCAGTGGCTGCAAGCCTCTGCTCATAGCCAGGACGTTATGTTGGCAGCCCATTTCCACCAGCTGCAAAAACCATCCCCCGATCCTGATATTGAATCCAGACCATCAGAATTGAGGGGACACTGGGACACTGTTAGTCCTGTATTCCCCATCCTGGTGGCTGCTGGCCACACGCAGGAGCTGAGCCCTTGAGATGTGGCTGATCGGAATGAAAATGTCATTGTGGCCAGCTGTGGTGGCACACATCTTTAATCCCAGCACACAGGAGACAGAAGCAGGCCAGACAGGTCTACCTAGTAAGACTGTGCCTCAAAAGGGACCACACAAACAAACAAACAAAAGGCATCAGAGTTTAGTGTGGAAACACCTGTATTTACCTCGAGACAAAGCCCCTCAGTGTGTAAGATTTGGCCTTCTCTGGTTTTGGTTACCTGCGCTTGAGCACAGGTCAAAAGTATTACAAGGAGAACTTCCATTAAAGTATTCACAGAGATAAACAATTCCTGAGTTTCCACACATGCCCTGCTTTAAGTAGACATCATCAACTCTCACGGGAATCTTGTCCATCCATCCAGTATGGGAATCCTCCTTTCTCCAATGTGTCCCCAAGGTACATGCTACCTTCCCACTAGTCAAATAGTGGCTGTCGTAGGGCTTGGACGTAAGGAACCCTTCTGTGACTTAATAATGGCCCTTCACACCAGAGTCCCAGTACTGTGCTTGGCTTTTGCCGCAAAGAGCCTCTCTCTATGCAAAATGAAGAGGAGGGAAACTCCACACAAGATCTGCATTGCCAGAGAGTGAAGACAGCCCACGTTGAACATGCTTTATCTGGAATATTGTGCTTTAAGTACTCGGAGTAATGGTGACCCGCTGCAGCCCAGGAACAGTCTGTGATTGGCAACTATTTTAATAGGAAGACTTGCTTTTACATTGATAAATCTTCTACTCCACTATGTTAGCCAATGGAAAACACCTTCACCAGCTGAGATTTACCCCATCCCTGTCTCCAGGGACCTTTTTAGAAGATGAGATTGGGGATCTGATCCTGGCTTAGCTGATCAGGTAACTCCTTTTGTGGTTTGAATGAAAATGTCTTCCAAAGGCTCACGCGTTTGAACGCCTCATCCCCAGGCAGTGGTGTGGTTCAGGAAGTTGTAGAACCAACAAGACCTTTTGGGAGAGAGAGCATTGACCTCACTGGTACTGTGTACTATCATTAGGGTCCAATTCATGGCTTAATTGACAAATTCGGCTTGATTGTAGATATGAATGCACATGGGAAAACAGTAGAGAAGGGATTTGTTAGCTACAGGTTCAGGTGCCTACTTAAGGATCTGGGGTATGTCCCCATGGTCCAGGGAAACCGCTGCATCAAATACGGGTGATGTGACATGTTGAGCCAGGCAGAGATTCATTATAGGAAGTTGCCATTTGTTAACTCTGTAAACAGGATTGCTGAGAAACCTAAGGCCACATGGGTGACTTCCTCCTGAATATCCTCCAGTTCATGGAACAGAGAAGTTTAGAGTGGGCTCGGAGGAGGGGGCGGCCGGCCGAGGGGCTGAGTGTCAACCGCAGCCTCACAGGCCCAGTCTGCGGCAGGAGCGGAGCCCTCGGAGAACGTGGCTGCTGGGAAAGGCTGTGTGTCAGAGACCCATGAAAAATGAAAGGATAATAGGACGAGAGAGAAAGGAAATCTATAATCCCCCGGGGGAAAGGAGAGGCTCCATTCATCAACTTCTCTTTGAACCTTCTTTTGAAAAGTCGCTACGCACACAGGGACTCCTTAGCTGTCAACTCTGGGTGTGATGGAACGGTTAGTCCTGGGTCTGCAGGTTGTGGAAGAGAATGGTTTGTGCGCTCTCCAGTGTGTCAGCGGTGGCTCAGGGTGGCTGCAAGGACCTGCCCTTGAGCCCTCCTCTGCAGCTCTGCCTATGACTGCTGTGTGACCTTGGGAAATCGGTCTCCCTCTCTGGGCTTCTTCCTTGTTCCTTAGAGACAGGGAGGGCCAAGGGACCTTCAAGGCCATTCAACGCTAGGTGAATATGCAGGAACCAAGGGACAGGGTTTGAGAAGTGCCTGGGTTACTATTGCTGGGATAAAGAACATGACCAAAAGCAACTTTGGGAAGAGAGGGTTTATTTCAGCTCAGAGTTATAGTCCATCATGAAGAGAAGGCAGGACAGGAACTGGAGGCAGGAACCGAAGAAGCTGAAGCCATGGAGGAACACGGTTTACTGGCTTGCTCCTCCTGGCTTGCTCAGCCTGCTTTCTTATACAACCAGAACCACGTGCCCAGGGGTGGCACCACTCACACTGACGTTCCCTCTGGTCCCCGAGGCCCCAACCCCAGTGCTATCTGCCCAAAAAAAGCCCCAAAAAACATTGGCGGAGGAGGGGGACGGGCATGTTACTGTTTCCCAAGGGGCACAGCTATTGTTTTCGAGGAAAAGGGTTGCTGAGGGGGTCAGGTTCTTGGTGGAAGGACCCACCAACTTCCTGTTCAGGGGTTCTACCCACCCTGAAGACCAGAGACCATGGAGAAGTTTCTGGGCCCAGATGCACATGTGCAAGACCAGGACAGAGAGCACAGGGCCTCTCTGACCACGCGCATGGGTGCAGCACACATCTGCTGAGCCCCGCACATCAGGAAAGCGTCCTGGGTTGTCAAGAGCAGGTGCAGCTCCAGGCAAGAGTTGGAGACCCATCCGTGAGTGAATAAGCACTGGAGTTAGAATTCACACCCAGGTTCTTCTTTACAGCACAGCACAGTGTCAGGAGCCTCTCGTTACCGCACCAAAGCAGGCGCCTTCCCTGTCCCAAAGCTGCTTGAATCCTCTTCCAGTGTAGACGCAACTGTCCAGGCTGGACGCCCTCCTTTGTTACAACAAGAATGGACAGATACAGCAATGCCAAACTTCAGGATGAGTCAGACCATGGAATTGTTTGACAAGGATTTGTTTAAACAGTCACCATAACATGCTTCAGACCAACTCCAAATCATCTCCAAACAAGGTGGAAATCCCAGTACATAGACAGAAGTTGATAGAAAGCTGACATCACAGGGCTAAGAGACACAGGCATGGAAATAGCATTTCGGACAGATGCAGCAGTAGAGAGCTGGTGGGATGGCATCGGTGAACTCAGAGACAGATGATGGAAGCCACCTGCCTCGGCGAAGGGAAGGAGGTACAGTCTGGAGGCTCACGCAGCACAGTGGAAATGCTCACAGTCATCTCAGCAGACGTCAAGCAGGAGAGGAGCATGGGAATGAGGGTATCTGAAACAATGACCAAAGAGATCTAAATTTGGTAAAAGACACAGACCTACATATCCAAGAAGCTGAGTGCCGTGAACAAAGACAGACACCCGAACAGGGTAGGCTGAGACATGATAATTAAATTCCCAAAAATTAAAACTGTAGAAGGTAAACTTTAGAGCAGCCAGAGAGCTAGTATAATTGTCTAGTGGAGGGGTATACTCAAATAGGTTTCTCTTCTAAAACAAAGAAGTCGAAAGGGCACACGATATGGTTGAACTGGAGAAAGGGAGGTTATAGATGGAAGAGTGGCAAGCTTCAGATTCTATTTAAGGAATCTCTCCAGAAACTCTTAAACAGGATGGGAGTCAAAAGGCAGGAACACTGGGGGGTATTTTAGCCTAGGTACCACAGCCACACCACAAAGAAAAAAACTACCAGCAACTCCCAGCCAGGTAAACATAGTACCTCAGTCTGCAGACCTGTCGTCAGAGACTGTGACCAGCAAATGGTATGTCAGGCTACGGTTGAGAAATAAGGCAGGCTGAGGAGTCGACTCCATTGGCGAAGCACTCACCACAGGAGTGTGAGGACCTAGGTTTGGATGCCAAAATCCCACATAAAAAGCTGGGGGTGGTCATGTGTGCCCATAATCCTAACGCTGTAGAGGTGGAGGCAGATGATCCCTGGAGCTTGTTGACCAACCAGCCTAGTTTACCTGGTGAGTTCCCAGCTCAGGGAGAGGTCCTGCCTCAAAAACAATGAGGTGGGAAGATCGTGAGGAACGACACCTGAGGCTGACCTCTGACCTCCACGCACACAAGTACACGAGTGTACACACACACACACACACACACACACACACACACACACACACTCTAAACAGAGATGGGGAAGCTTGCTAAAAGGCAAAACACCCAACCTGAAGGAACAAAGCAAGCTCCATAGGGCGGCACACAGTGTTCCTCGCATTGAACTGATGCTGTTCTTGTAATTAAATGGTCCAGAGAGAGAGCCGTGCTGACATGACTCTCATTCACCTGAGGCAGGATCCCGTTACATGGAGAAATATTTCTATCTGGAAATCAATGGAAGCCCATGGGAAGAATTACTCGCTAAATAGTGAGGGCAGATGAGTCAATAGACCCTCGTGAGCGCCTGAGATGAGGCCACTACTCACTCCTGATTATAGGGCCAAAGACATCAAATTGATAACACGGTGGTGATACTGAACGAGGGGAAAATGTGCAAATTCTTAGGAAGAGAGGCAAGAACCAGCTAACATCATGACGGACAAGCTACCGGGGCTGCATATTTTCTGTTCACAGGACTGAGTCTGGGCAGCCCCCTGCCACCCACCTGAGCCCTGGGCTGGACCCTACCTCGTGAAGCCATGTCTCTCCAAGGCCTCTTGGTCCCATTCTCTCCCTCGCAGCAGGCGGCCATGCCTGGCACTTCTACAGCATACTTCAGTCCACCAGGTCATTTCTCTTAGGGGATCCCTGACTGGGTGCCTGGGAGCCAAGATCCTTGGGGTCAAATCCCACTTTCACCTCATTCTAGATGACTCCGGGGCAGAGTATTGCCCACATGTGCCTCAGTTTCTCCATCAGTAAAATAAGACTGATAGTATCCCTGATAGGATTCTTGTGATGTCTATCCAGGGAGAGTACAAGGTGTGTAAAGCCCAGTGAGAAGAAATTCCTCAGTCAGTCAGAACTCTGCATCCTCCTCCCCTTTACAGAAGGGGAAACTGAGGCACAAAGGGAATCAGGGTGCTGCAGGGCCAGCATCCAGACCTGGTGCTGCCACTTCCTTCCCACCTCATCTGGTGGAGGAGAGAAAATATGAGGAGCATGGGGCTCCTGGCTTTTGTCCCTATGTGTGGAGCCAGGGCAAGGGACATTGACACCCGGCCACACATACCCAGCATGAGCCTGAGTGGTGTTGTTGCTCATGAGGACGACTCCATTCCCACCTCACAGCTGAGACATGAGTCCAAGGTCCCACAGGATGGTGCTGTGAAGTCAGCTCAGCACCTGGCATCCATGGCTGTTCTTGCCCTAGACCCTACCCCACAAAATGCTGAGTGCAGTCTGTCACAGGCAATAACACCGAGGCTCAGGGCGGGCATGGCATCCTCCAAAGGTTTTACAGCCCAGGAGAGGAAGGATCCCACAGAGCTCACACCAGAGATGTCATCGTCCACCCTGTGACCAGGTGGGTGTCTCCTCCTTGTCCTATCTTCTGAGCCCTGGATGAGGGAGGGGTGATTGACTGAGCTGCTGGAGGGAGGGCCTGGGGGACCAGGAGGGTAGGCTGGGCCTGCAGCCTCTGGGAAATCACTTGACTCCTGCACTTGCTGGAATTGCTGCTCTTTGCAATCCCAATGCTAAGCCTGGGCCTCCTCGGAGACCCCAGTAGGAGAATCTCATTTCTCTCCATCCTTGGCATTGGCAGAACCATGTTATCTACCTCAGAAACAGAAGTAGTTCCCTCTTCACAGGATTTGGGGGGGACCCCACCCAAACGGGAGCTTCTTAGCCTCATTATGACTCCTCCCAAGGTCGGAGGTCACATCAATAACTCCTTCTCACCTGTAGCCCACTGCAGAGCCACAGCAAAGCTGTCTCAAGTGTGAACTTGTGAACCTAGCTTCCTCCCCCGCAAAATCAATGATAAAGCCAGCCTCTAAATCCCCCTCAGCTTGGAGTTCATAAACTGAGGCCTTTTATAGACTTCTGGGCTAGCAGGAGTTTCTATTGCCCTAAACCCTGCCCAGGTCTAGAGGACCAGCCTGGCTCCAAGAGCAATTGGTAAGAGAGTGATGGCCCAACTCAGCATGTAGTTGTTGTCCCAAACACCCTGGCCCTCGTCAGCTACCCATGGTGGATCCTCTTACCTAGGCAAAGCCCAGTGGACTGGGTAAAAAGTTCTCAGGGGAATGGAAAAGCTCCCTGGCTTAGAACTCTCCCAGGAAGGTCATGTTCCAGTCATACTTGTCAAGTTCAGGATCCAGAGACCCCCATGCCTGGGCTGCTCACCTCCAAGTTCATGGCTTTACAGTCAGGCAGACGGGAGACTGACGGAGTCAAATCCATCCCCAGACTCCTCCTGGGAGCACTGTGGCAGTGGGAGTCAGCCATGGCTCTGCTCTGTGCTGCAGCCCTGTACACCGTGGAGGCCACAAAGGGACAGGGACCAAGCTCAGGTGAGGGGTCCTGTGTTAATGTTCTCATCACTGAGACACAGCAGGTGGGTTCGAAGTGGGAGGGGGTGTAGGGCAGGGGGAGGGGCAGTGCCTACAGGGCAGGAGCCAAGCTTGAAGACCTCATGTCCTGGGATCTCTCCAGCCACTTCACAGTGTGTCCTCTGGGTAGGCAACATAGGAAGTTTCCTTTCTTCACAGCAGAAACTGGCAGCCAGCCAACTGCCCCCAGAGAATGAGGGAGTCAGGAAGCAGAAGCCAACAATTAACCAAGAGCTTTGCAGATGGGATGTGCTGGGATCTTCAACAGTGGCCTCCCCCGGCAGTGAGTGGACCTAAGAGTCACATATGGCTGCTGACACAGGCACTTGAGAGTCCAAGAATCCAAGACACAGAGTGTTGTAGAATATTATTTTAAGGTGTGGTTTATTTATGTTGCACTTGTTTAAATCTGTGAAGCTGTGTTACTATGCCTGTCTAAAACAACTGATGGTCTAATAAAGAGCTAAACTGCCAATGGCGAGGCAGGAGAAAGGATAGGCGGGGCTGGCAGGCAGAGAAGATAAATAGAAGGAGAAATCTGGGAGGAGAGAAGAAGAAGGAATAAGAGAACAAGGAGAGGAGCCAGCCACCCAGCCACCCAGCCAGCCACAGAATAAAAGTAAGATTTACAGAAACAGAGAAAAGTAAAAGCCAAGAGGCAAAGGGTAGATGGGATAATTTAAAGTTAAGAAAAGCTGCCGGGTGGTGGCGGCGCATGCCTTTAATCCCAGCACTTGGGAAGCAGAGGCAGGCAGATCTCTGTGAGTTCGAGGCCAGCCTGGTCTACAGAGTGAGTTCCAGAACAGGCTACAAAGCTATACAGAGAAACCCTGTCTCGAAAAACCAAAAAAAGAAAAAGAAAAGAATAGTTGGCTAGAAACAAGCCAAGCTAAGGCTGGGCATTTATAATTAAGAATAAGCCTCCACGAGTGATTTATTTGGGAGCTGGGTGGTAGGCGCTCCAAAAGAGTTTTTTTTTTAAAGGCAATCAACAACACACAGCAAGGGAGGAGGTTACTCAGAAGGCTAGTAAACATCATTCCTTAGTGGATCCATGGGGAAACTGAGGCAGAGAGAGAGAGAGGAGAGGGGAGCTGCTCAAGAACACACAGCAAGAACGTGGGTGGGCTATGACCTCTCTGAAGAAACAGGTCATGGTGGTTCAGTGCACAGTTAAGCACAAGATCAAGGCCGTGGATGCTGAAGATGAAGCAGGATGAGACTCAGTAGGACATGGAGTTTGCCCAATGGTGAGCTCAGAAGAGGAAGGAGGAGTTGGAGCCTGGTCTGAGCACCATCTCTTCATTTGTTTGTATAGGATCTTGTGTAGCCGAGGCTGGCCTCAAGCTGGTCACATAGGAAAAATTATCTTGAACTTCTGATTCTCCTGACTCCAAAATGGTGGGATTGCAGGTGTGCCCCACTTTGCTCACTTGATGCTTAGAGAGAACATAGTCTGCCCAAGGACAAGTGCAGAGTTGACATCATTCCTGAGTACTCAAAGTGCCTCTGTCACCTAAGTCCTGGTAGGAACTTCGGGGGTCAATAGAGACAGAGCTCGAGTTTCACTCACAGTGAGTAGGGATTAGTCCACAAACCTTTCTTGTGGTGTCCCTTTGAAATAAAAATAATGACCCTCAAGGGGACACGGGATGGTGAGTTCTCATGCCCTTAATCTATAAAACCTGTAACCCACCAAGGATTTTTTTCCCCAATCACTCTCTCCACCTTATTTTCTGAGGCAGGGTCTCAGAATCCAAACTCGGAGTGCAAGGCAAGCACTTTGCTTACAGTTATCTGTCCAGCTCCCACACCTGCTCCCTGGTGGTGTAGACCCCTTTTCCTGGGGAAGCCTACTCTTTGAGATGAGGCCCTTATCACACCTAGGAGTGAGGAATTCCCCTAACCGCAGCCCACAGTCCCACAGAAACACTGAATGGGATTCCTCCCTGAACTCATCATCCCACACCCCGCTGACTCCTTCACAGAGCTGCAGTGGGGGCAGGGTGTGGGGGCAGCTAGGAGTTGCAAAAATGAGGCTGTCTGAGGAGCCCCTGTTGACACAAGCCTGTGTATCTGGCACTCTGGAAGCTGACGAAGAAGGACTGGTACAAGTTCACAGCTAGCCTAGGCTACATTGTGAGCCCAAGTCAGCTGAGAAGAAGGATTGATGCAAGTTTACAGCTAGCCTGGGCTACATAGTGAGCCCAAGTTGGCCAAGACTACACAGCAAAACTCTGTCTCAGAAACAAAAACAGACGGTTCTTTGAAGAAGAATCCTAGAGACAGAACAAGAACTGAGGAATCCAGGCCCCAGAACTTACAGCTACATTTGACCCTGGGCACGCTAAACATTAAATCCAGCATGATTAAAACAAATCTTCATGCCGAAGGCTTTTTTCAACTCAGTTCCTATTACGAGCTACCGCATGTCTGGCTTTCAACAAAAATCACAGGAGATGATAAGAGAGAAGAAAAAATGTGGATAAAAAGAAACAAAGGGGACTTAAGGATGAGGCTCAGAGACAACATAGATCAGTGGAGAATTTCATTCAAACAACTGTGATGAATGTGTTGAGGGCTCCAGGGGAGAAACAGGGTGAGAGCAAATGACTGTTGATTCAGGAGATGGACACTCAAGAGGATCCGGAGGAAAGGCTAGCAATGAAAAAGTGTTGTGAAAGAAACAGATGCTGCTCATCGATTTGTCAATAGACTGGACATGACAACAGGAAGGAACAGATGAACTCAAAGATGACTCCCATGATGCTTTCCCACCCGGAATGCAGAAGGAGGCATATGTGTGTGATAAAGCAGACCACAGTCATTAAGACCCGGCAGGTGTCTCAGAATACCTACCATACTTCCTCCCATCTAGAGGAGCCAAAGGAGAAGACAGAGATGAGAGCCAGGAATTGCCCAGGGTTCTCAGTAGAACCACGAGGAGAAAAGACCAAATCCGTGATTGTCCAATTAAAGCAAGCTGTGTTTCAGGGTGCACCCAGGACTGGTCACCTGACTGTCTCACCCTAAGTCAGGAGTTGAGAGAGCAGTTCCTACTGACCTCTTGGGGTCTGTTTTATAGGAGAGATAAGGTATTCCCAGGGGTGAGAGAGTTGGCTGTTACATGTTGTTAGAAAGATACAATGAAGGAAAGGAACAAGGGTCAGGATGTACATCATGTGAATGGGGTCGCAAGTTCAGTGTAGGTTGAAGGAAACCGTGTTTTGCAGTTTACTTCAGAGCTAAGAATCAGGAACTTATTCTTAATTACAAGTATGCTGTGGGATGTCTTTCTGTACGTTGTAAATATGTGTTGCTCCCATTAATAAAGTTGATTTGGCCTATGGCAAGGCAGCTTAGAGGCAGGCAGGAAATCTGCGAGAGACAGGAAAGAGAAAGGCGGAGTCTGGGGAGAAGCCGGGAGCCGCCACCAGGAGAAGCAAGATGTAAAAGTACTGGTAAGCCACGAGTACACATGGAAACTTTTAGTTTAATAGAAATGGGTTAATTTAAGATATAAGAGCTAGCTAGCAAGAAACCTGATCCATAGGCCATACAGTTTGTAAATAATATAAGCTTCTGTGTGTTTACTAGGGACCAAGCAGCCGCAGGAAGTGGGAGGGAGAACTGGAGAAACTTTCTGGCTACACAAGTAGAAGACCTAACTTTCAAGAACTTAACACGGGACAAACAAGAACTTATTCTTTGACTGCAAACAGAACCCTTAACCTGCACAGTATATTTTTCCTATTTTGTCTCACACTCAGCAGAGAACTGATAGGCTTCAACTGACAAAAGACGGTCTGTGTGGAAAATGGTGCATGGGAAATTAAACTCCACATCTTTAAAATGAACCTGGACACATCTCACAACAGCCACAAAAAAAAAAAAAATAACTAAACAGAAAACATTTCAGTAGAAAACATTGGTGGCTTTGCCTTTGACAATGAATTAGTGTGTGTGGACACATGCTTATGTACATTTATGCATGTGTGCACGCGTGTGTGTGATCTGTATGATGATGATGATGTGTGTACATAAATGTAGGTGTGCAGGTAGAAGCCATCAGGTGTCCTTATTTTTTGAGGCAGGGTCTCTCACTGAACCAAGCGCATTGTTTCAGCATGGTTGGCTGGCCAACAAGTCCTGCACAGCCCTAGCACTGGGCTCACAGATATGTCCTGCCACACCAGCTCTTCCTGTGGGCTTAGAAGACATAAACACAGGCCCTCACGCATTTGTGACAAGCACTTTACTGACTGTGCTGTCTCCCCGGCTCTAGTAGTGAGTTTTGTATACAAGATTAAAAGCCTGGATTCATGAAAGAAAAATCAATTGATGTTGGGCTTCACTAAAATTACGTTTTTCTGCTCTCTGAAAAATGGTAAAGAGAATCAGCAGACATGCCATTGGCAGGGGAGAAAATATTTGCCAACCACACCTGATAAAGGACTGTTACAGTTATCCAAGATACACATGTTCTAAGTGCTGCAGCTCTGACTGGGAAGGTTTCCCCAGTGGAAATGTTGGAGCTTCTGATTCTGAGAGGAAATGAATCCTGGCAGTCAGGAGCCAATGAATACCAGAAAGTCACACCACACAACAACTCTCACCCAAAAGATTTATTGGGAGAGCCACAGGAGGGGTGGCTGCCTCTGCTTGGGGCTCAGATCAGGATCCCCTGTCTAAGGATTGGTGTCATCCATAGTGGGTTGATCCTCCCATCTCAATGCTATCAAGATAATGCCCCACAGGTATACCAGAAGGCCGGTCTGACCTAGATAATCCCTCATGGAGACTCTATAGTGGTGACTCTAGATTGTGTCAAAGTGACAGTTAACCCTACCATCCCAGACAGGAATCCATCCTCATGTTCTTGTGTATGGTCACTGTTGGCATTTACCAGAGCCTGCTGCCAATTGGAGTTATCAGTTTGAGTGTCTGGGACCTTCCTCTGAGACTGATCACCATGCTCTCAGATTTTGGCCCTGCTACTCAGAGTTTCTAGAGAGGGAGGAATGAGAGCCCCCTAACATAATTTTTCCTTAAAAATATCTAATGAGTTTATCACCAATTCATTCACCCATTTGGGCGAGTACAACCCACACATGGACATCAATTCCTCTGGGCTCTCTGTCTTCGGTCAAGTCTCCTCTGAGCTCCCAAGGACACCACAAGCACAGACCCACATCACTTCCTACTCACTGAAATGGTAAGTTTTGCAAAAAGAGAGTCTATTCACAGGGTAGCCAGGCATGGAGAGGAAAACTCAAGACTCAGCTCGGCCTCTCCAAGCACAGGGCTTGGGGCCACTTGGGGGACCAAGAAGCCTGTGGTTTAAGTCGTGGGGAAAGGAACTAGAGGTGAGACCAACTCGTCCACGGTCTTCATGGCTCATTCTGTTACGCGTGTTCAGAAAATGGTAGTGTGGGGGGCTAAGAGTGGTGGTCTGCCTTGTAAAGTAAGAGGTCACCTGCACAAGTGAAAAATCAATAGTTTCAACAACAGTAGCCTTCAGCCTCCTGAAGGTAACCTAGGCAACCACTGTCATCGTGACCCATGCATCGAAGGTGTCACCTGGCAAAGCGAGCGAGGGACTAATAATAACTCGTTCGGCCCAGAGAGTAACAGAAGTGGTGATTTTCAAAGCCAACTGACAGCAAGTGACCCCGGAGGCCTTATTGAGGTCTGGGTTAGTGTCAGTACCATGAGAAGCTTCACAGGCATTCTGCCTTCAGCAGCCACCGGAGCCACAACCACAGAAGCCACAGCGGCAATTAGCCCTACTTCCGCTCGCCACTCTCAGATACAGTTGGGCTAGGAGTCTACCCGCACATCCCAGCTCAGGGCTCACCGAGATTGGAGGACCCCAGCTGATCAGGGGCGAGAAGGTGGATATGTATCATTTGTTCACTTCCTTTTCCTTCCCCTCCGGGATCCTGGCTGAGGAAAGGGGCCTAGAAGGAAAGATCAGAGCTTTAGATGCAGCACATGCTGTCTGAGCTGCTTCCCCTCGCTCACTGCTGGGACTTCCGTGCTGTTATAATGTTTTACGTTAATTGAATAATTCATTTTACATTAATTAATTGACAAAGGACTTTGTGGTGCTAAGATTGAATCTGGGGGCTTTGTGCATGCTAAGCCAACACTCTCGTCACTGAGCTATGTCCCCAGCCCTTCGTGTTTACTTTTAATTTAAAAAATGTTTAAGCTGTGGTATCTCTCAGTGGTGGGTGGGGGATAGACCTATGTTGGCTTTTTTCTGAGGTGCAGTTTATTGGAACCAGAGAGTTCCCTGGCAGAGAAGGAGGTCTGTCTCTCCAGCTGACCTTTTATCCCTCACCCACAGTCCTCCCTATCTGTTCACCCTGCCCTGCTGCTGAGACCCATCCCCTCAGAAAGTCCCAGTAATATTGCTCAAGCGTCAACGGAATTCCGTGGCCTTTGCATAGTTCACAGAAAATTCTCTTTCCCTCTGCCCACCCTGGGAGCACAAGGTTCCCCCCGCCCTGCCTCCCAACCTCCTCTCCACATCTGCCCTGGTGCCCTGGTGGACAGCTGTGGCCAACCTCCGACCTTCTGAATTCTCAATTTTTTAGGCCCTTTACTCTAGTGATGGTCTTTCTTAGTATTATTCAGGGAAACTGAGGCACAGATAGATTAAATTAAAAATATAATGTAATAAAACCAAAATTTATTGTCTGGAAAATACATAGAAACAGAGGAGGTGGCCAGAATAAAGGGGTGAGGGAACAAAATAAGACACATGCCATGGAGAAGGGGGGTTACCCCCCAAACTTGAGATGGAAAAAGGGAAACTAGATACAGAACTCTGGGCCAATAAGCTCCGGAGTTTACTCACAGAGTACATCTTGGACAAAAATGTAGCTATTGAAACCAATCCCAAAAGGAAACGTAAGATTCTCAGAAACTGTAAAAACACTGAAGGAGTGGAGTCAATTGTAGAAATATACCGATAAGGCTTTAACCAGGGGTTGTACAGCTTCTCAGAAATCCTGATGATGGGGATTCTGAAGACATTTCTGTTGTGAGACTAACAAAGCCTTGAACCCAGGGTCACACCATAAATAGAAAGCTAAAGAGCAGATTCACTTAAAAATGTGAACGCAAGTTGCCTTTTAAGAATGAACGGGACGGGACGGGACAAAGCGGAAGAGATGTTCATCAAGTGGTGATGTTGCCAGACTGCTCTAAGGAGCCCAGGTGCGTCCCCAGAAGCCATTTTAAAAAGCCACAAGTGGCGGCGTGCATCCAGAAAATGGCCCAGAAGAAGCTCGTGGGTCAGCTGGATCACATGCCACTGTGATGGAAACAAGAAACTCCATACCTCACCAAGGTGGATGGTGAGAATCAACTCCCTTTGACCTCCAGATCTGTAGGGCAGCAGGATTGTGCATGTGTACAGTTGTGAGCCGTTATGCAGGTTCTGGGATGCAAACCCAAGTCCTCTGCTGAAGCAGCAAGTGCTCTTCACCACAGAGCCATCATCGATCCAGGCCTATGAATAAAAATTTTAAAAATAAACATGAAGGGCTGGGGACGTAGCTCAAGGACTAGAGTATTGGCCTAGCATGCACAAGGCCCTGGATTCAATCTTGGCACTACAATTACTTTATCAATTAATTAACGTAAAATTAATTATTCAATTAATGTAAATAATTATAAAAGCACTGAAAATCCCAGCAATGAATGAATCAGGTAATAGATCACAGCGGCTTCCTTCTGCCGGGAATGTGGCGCATGGTTAGCAGTAATGTATTCAGGAAAGTAATTTGTCACATTAGGGAGTCTTTGAAAAACAGATGCTCATCTGAACGGGTGCAGAAAAGGCGTTTAACCAAAACTGTCATCCATTCCCGGCCAAACTCCCAGCAAGCCAGGAAGGAGAGAAGTAGGTGTTCCGCAAAGAAAAGCAAAGGGCGAACTGTTAAGAGACTCACCTCTGGTACCAGAAAGGAAGCAAGGATGGCAGCTGTCACCACCCTGGAGATGCCGCCTGGGAGGTCCTCTCTGGAGCAGAAAGAAGAAATGAAAAGTTCAGCCTGGGGAAGAAGAGGCAGAGCTTATCAGCTTGGAATGCCCAGGAGTGCACAAAAAATCAGAGTGCTTTGAGCGCGATCGCGATCGTTAGGCTTGCTATCAGTGTATGGAAATAAAGACGCCATCTACGGGGGGAAATGATAATGATTCTAAATCAAGGAGTACCTCTAACTAGAGTTGTTACAATCCCTGAGGAGGAAAATGACTGCTGATCTGCTATGGGTGTGACAAGGGTGGAGCTACTCTGTGCCTGGGCACCCCCCTGTCCTCTCTGCTGTGGATCTCCCTCCTAAAGAAGAAACACTTGGAGAAGGCAAGATGACTCAGGGGATGAAGGTGCTTGCGGCTAAGCCTGACATGTCCTAAAATGTGCTGAGGCATGAGCATGAGCATGCATGAGCACACATGCTTACTCTCAAGCGCGCACACGCGCGCGTGCGCACATGCACACGCGCACACACACACACACACACACACACACACTAAATAATAATAAATAAATAATAAATAAATAAATAATAAATAAATAAATAATAAAAACGCTGTAATTTTTTTTAAAGAAATTGAAGAAGAAACACAGATTGTCAGAATGATTTGTGCCTGTTGGGTCTTAATAACCTAGTGCTGATTGAAGGACTCATATTTGTATAATGCATTTTCCAAACTCCATCATTCTGGGAACCCCCATGCCCCTATTGATCCCACCCGCAGTAGCTTGAAGAGGGAAGTGGCCTGCAGGAAGCTGTCCTGGGGTTAGGCCACAGGACTGTCTTGTTTTCCAAGACCCTTGCTTTGCACCTGCTGGCCTTGGGTTCTTTTTTCCACAGCAGCCCAGGGAGAGTCGCTGGTCTTGTGCTGGGAGCCAGGCACAGTGACATGGCCCCCTAGCTACAAAGCTTGTCTTCACAGAGCCCCTGCTACAGGAGAATCCATATCACCATGCCACTGGAGGATCTGTTTACTGCCCATCTGGAGTCCTTATGACCTCACAGCTCAGTCCTAGTGTCCATCGGGGGCTTTGGGCTGCAGTAAGAGACCCAAGCCAACAACTGAGCCTGTGGAAGCGAGATAGGAGGCCATAGAGGTGGAAGAGACTGGGGAGCTCTGAGGACAGGAGCGCCAGGTCCACACTCTCAGCCTGGTTCTCTGCTCCTCGCCTTCCCCTTTTCTCTGTCTCCTCTACTTTCTGCAGAGTGCTCTCGATTTCTCCCTCTGCTTCTGGGGCCTGCCCAATGGGAACCAAAAAGTAGCAGCCACTGTTTCCAGCCTCTTGATCCCAAAGACACTAGGGAGCCTTCCCTAGCAGCAGCAGGCAGGAAACCCAGGGAGGGAGCCAGAGGCCGGCAAGGCATCCTGCCCAAGTGGCTTCAGAGCCAAGAGGCCTTAACCTCTTTCCTGAAAAAAAAAAAAAAAGCACCTCAGGAACTGGCCAGGTCCCAAGGAGCTCTGCAAGAGTTGGGACTCAGCAGGTGGACTGTTCCCTAAAGTGCCCTTCCCATTCCCCATGCCCCTTGTGCTGCCTGCAGCCTCCCCGGGACCCATGGAGGTCATCCACAGCCTCTAGCAATCTCAAACAAGGCCCAACCACTTACCTCAGCAGGGCCTCTGCTAAGTTTGAATCCTAGAGGAATGCTCTCCCACCGCTGGCATCCCAGAAGGCATGGACAAAGACCCTTTTGCCCTGAAAGGATGATTATGCAGAGAACAGAATAGAGAAATAGGGAGTGGTGGGAGGAAGGGAGGGATTGGAGAAGGGAAGGGAGAGGAAAGGAGAAGGGACGTGAGGGGAAACTTCTGTCTTTGAACATTTCAGTGCAGTCTATGGCTCCATTACAAGGTCCAGGCGAGTGTGAACACCCTGCAGGTAAGGTGCCTGCTGCCTGTCAACCTGCACTCAATCCCTAGAACCCACACAGCGGAAGGAGAGCACCAATGCTGCAAGTTGTCTTCTGATCCCACAGTCAGCCTCACCCTCTCACACTCATACAAACAAACGTAAAAAGAATTTTAAGAAATGAGTAAGACCCACCAATATTTCCTAATGCAGAAAAATGTCCTGATAGATATTATTAAATGGTTTAAAAGCCAGATGCACAAAGGCATACCTTTTATCTGTTTAAAGACAAAGAGCCAAACGTAGAATGAGTAGAGCTAGGCACACTTGTGCGTGTGTGCATGCGTGTGTGCATCAGCACAGAGAGAATGGTCCTCGGGGCTGCAGAGTACACTGTAGAGAGTGTTGACTACAGAAGCGGGTAAAACCTAGAACAAGCGGTCCACACAGCAGTGCGTTTTCTCTGTGTGACCTGTGGGACTCCAACAATAAGAAAGCCCTGGGTCGCCCTGGAGTAACAAAAATGATCGGGAATGAATGGAAGAAAGGAAAGGGCAGGGACCATCGTTTGTTAAAACTCAAACCACCTGGATAGTAGAGAGGATGACAAACAAAGGCTGGGGCAGGTTTGCAAGAGGAAGCACTCTCAAATACACAGCAAGTGATGCATTAGCATGCTCCCAACAGTCCTACCAGTCCTACTGCATGCGCGCGCACACGCATGCACACACACACACACACACACACACACACACACACACACACACATACACAATTAAAAGTAGTAATGTCCTTGGCCCCAGGACTACCTACCACATGCTTGTTCTGGGGTCACTATTCTCTGGCATTGCCCTGTGGAGGAGGTTCTGGGTCCTCCTCCTGAGAGGTCACTCATGATGCCTTAGAAGTGGCTGTGGAGAAAAGCTAGGGAATGGAAACAGATACTCCTGAAAGATGCTTCCTCCCATCCAGGGGCTTGGGATGGGCAGAAGGTAGGTGATGAGATCTGTCAGCTGCCTGTACCTTGTGATTGAATACAGTTCCGGCATTTCCCCAGCTGAGTGGCAGCCAGGGCTCCAGCCGCATGAAATTGGATGGATAAAAGACGGAGCAGAGGGCACCAAGACCTTGGTTCCCCGTCACTTTGTCACCAACTTTACTAGAGACAAGCCAGTGCATTAAGCCGCTGAAGTCAATAATAAAATGGTTGGAGGATAAAAGTGGAGAGAGATTGAGAAGCCCACAAAATTGCTCCTTCCTCCAGAGTCCTAGGGTTCTGACGTTGTTTCTGGAAAGAAGACCGCGCGCGCGCGCGCGCGCGCGCGCGGGGGGGGGGGGGGGGGGGGGGTGTCTCTGCAAATGCTCAGAGGAAATGCCAGATGACTAGTGATGGAGTCGGAGGGCTCCATCCCATAAGCTGAACACCTATTAAGTGTGTGAAAACATTCTAGATACAAAATATCAAAACATGAAACATTTCCAGTTTCAGATAAGGTCAGCAGACACCTCTGTCCTTTGTACTAAGCTCAGCACCAAGTGCCCACTCCTTCTCTGGTCACCACACAGCCCCCAGGGAGGTGACATTAGTTTCTATGTTACTTTACAGGAAAGGGCACTGTGGTGGTCTGAATAGGTATGGCCCCCATAGATACATGTGCTTGAATGTTGGCCCATAAAGAGTGGCACTATTAGGGGGTGTGGCCTTGTTGGAGGAGGTGTGGCCTTGTTGGAGGAGGTGTGTCACTGTTGGAGGTGAGCTTGTGAGATCTCAGAAGCTCAAGTCAGTTCTTCTCACTGCTGCCTGTGGATCAAGATGTAGAACTCTCAGCTCCTTCTCCAGCACCATGTCTGCCTCCACGGGCTACCTGCCCCAAAGATAATGGACTAAACCTCTGAAAATGCAAGCCAGCCCCAATTAAATAAATGTTTTTCTTTATAAGAGTTTCCGTAGTCGTGGTGTCTCTTCAGAGCAATAGAAACCCTAACTAAGACAGGCACTGAGGTTCAGAGAGCAAGTTACTCCCTGGGACCTGGACTGTTGAAAGGTGGACTTGGGACTTCTCCGGGTATATCTCTGTCCAGTCTCTGACTCATTGTGTGGCATCCTGGTGACTCTTCCAGAAGACCCTAGATGAGAGGTCTGTGCAAAAGCCAGGCTGCTGAGACTGCTGGGAAATCTGAGATGGTGCCCTTGATAGCTGTAAGATGGCACAGCAGGTCTGCTTCCTAGAGGAGGTTCTATATCTCAGTGGGGTAACAGGTGGGAAATGCCCTGTGCCTCCCTGGGATGCCACAACGACCATATTTATGACAGATGCCTGGGAAAGGTGTAGAGAGGGGACTTGGTCTTCCTCCTGCTGGACCATCTGCATGTTCTTCCTTTTTTTTTCCTTCCCTCTCTCCATCCCCCTGCCTCACCTCCCCCTCCCCCTCCCTTCCTTCCTGACTCCCACACGTAGCTCAGCCCTTCTGTGGTCCAAGCCGGTGTTCTTGCCCTGATGCAATAAAAGTGAAGAGAGACTCGGGGCTCCCTCACACACTCCTGGGACCCACAGTTCAGCAGTTAATGACCATAAATTGAGGAGACCACAGAGGGAGTGAAGCCCTTTCAGATAGCGACAAGGAAATATAAGATGGAAAGGAAGGCTACGAGGAAGAGCGGTGATCTCTCTGAGAAACACCTTGTCACTGCCTGGCTACAGATGCCATGAGACAGACCTCAGGATCAGGCAGGCTAGCTGTCTCCACCTGCCCTGGCACAGTGAAGTCCCTGTCTGCCCCCCACCACTTTCCCATAAGCTCCTGGAACTTGCACAGAACCCAGCTCAGCAACGCCCCCTCGGGCTGTGCACTGGCTGTGCCCATCCAGGCTCAGTCACCATAGCCCTCCTGCTCACAGGCAGGGCCCATCCCTCCCCCCAGAGCGCTGGATCCTACTGACAGACCCTTTCTCCTGTGCCAACCCTTCCCCCGTGACATCAGCAGTCACCAGGCAGACCAGCTCTTTCCTCCTCACAGGCCATCATGGCTACCCAAAGGCCACCTCAAAGAGGCCTGCCTCCTTACTCAGCACCCCTTTGCCCAGCCTCCCCAGAAGGAAAGTCTAGGCAGGGTGGTTGTGCACTGTGTGGCCACCATCCTACCCCACCTCACCCTCACTGTTGATCCTGCTTTTCTACATCTCCCCCTCCCCTCCCCTCTGCTGAGAAACTCCTATGCAACCATCAAATCCCAGGCTCCATCTTTTCTAGGAAGCCCTTTCCAAGCAGAGTCAGTCACCCCCCCAGCTCTGTCCCCTAACTCCTCACCCTGTGAACGGCTAGCAGGGAACAGGACCGGAGCACACAGCATGCCCTCGTCGCTACCATACCCATCATCTTGCTTATTCCTTGCTCCCACCTTGTGAGAGAGAC